AGAATTTTCCACCCTGTTCCTGGCCAGGTGCAGGAGTTGCTCAGCAGAACCCGCCCCTTGGGTGGAGCTCTGAGGGCCCCACCCCAACCCTGCAGGTGCTCGACCCTCCCCACTGTCAAGGTGTGACAGCCTGGAGTGCTAAAGAATGAGGATGGACAGGGCCCACCCATGCAGAAGGGGGCACTGGGGAAGGTCCCAGGCAGGGGAGGGCAGGGGAGGGCAGGAGAGGGCACCTGTTCACACCCAGCCTGGTGCTCAGGCTCCTATACTTGGCCTGGTCAGCTCAGAACCTGCCCTAAATCCTTGGGGGGCAATCCTCCCTCCACCTCCGTCTACACTGACCAGGAAGTGAGTGCTGCTTGCCCATTCGCCAGGATGGGAGAGCCGAGGCTGCGCCTGAACGCTTGGTGGGTGACGAGGGTCTCTGAGCAGGCCGCGCTACCCTGGGACCTGGCTTTGGGGTCACTCTGGCTGCCACACCACACCATCCCAGCATCAGCCCCAGTCCTGTCTTCCCACCTGCAGCCTGGCTAGGACCTCCCTGGCTGCAGCAGCCTCTGTGCCGGTGCCTGTGGTCCTGGGAAGCCCCTCGTGGAGCAGAGGTGCTGCTGGCTGCCCAGGCCTGCCCCAAGACCCTGCCCGAGGCTTGCCTTCCCCCGGGAGGGGCTGGCCAGGCTTAGGTTCCCCTGCCCAGCACCATCCTGCTGGCCAAGTCACTGCCCTGGACACAAGGCCTGCCTTGGTTTTTACCCTTCCTGGGGAGAGGTGGCATTGTCCCTGGTCCCCATGCGGGCTTTGGTGACCAGCGGTGTGTGTGAGATGGGCTTTGTCCTGTAGCTGGTGTGGGTCTGCTGCCTGGCAGGGGGTGCAGGCCCCTGGGTCCCTCTCACCACGCTCCAGGTTCCCAGGTCCAGGCCTAGGCTGGGGAAGCTCAGGACCTTGGGGGTGAGGCTGCAAAAATGCCCTAACACGGACATAGCCCAGACACTCTTTTTGGCCAGAAAAGGAGCGAGAAACAGGTGTGACCTTCAGCCAGGGCGCCCCTGGCTTCGCAGCCCCTACTTGACGGGTTTCATTTGTTCGCTCATTTCTCCCGTGTGCCTGAGACCTTCATTTCTTTGTTCACAAGGGCATGTGGTGAACCTTCTGCATTCGGGGCCACCTCTGGATCGCTGCATCTCTTGGGTTTTTTGTTGTTTTTAATTTTTCGATTTTTATTTTTTGAGACAAGGTGTTGCCCTGCTGCCCAAGCTGGAGTGCAGTGGCACAATCATAGCTCACTACAGCCTTGAACTCCTGGCCTCAAGTGATCGTCCCACCTCAGCCTCCCAGGTAGCTGGGACTGCCTGGTAGTGGGAAAGCACACCTAGCTACTGTAACTTTAATTTTTGTAGAGACAGTCTCACTGTGTTGACCAGATTGTTCTCAAACTCCTGGGTTCAAGTGATCACCCCACCTCAGCCTCCCAAAGTGGAATTACAGGTGCAAACCACCATGCCCAGCCTGTTGGTTTTTAATTCAGATTTTAGTTGTCACATAAAAGAAAGACAATTTGCTTTTGACGTAAGGGACTGGGGCTGTGTATCATTCCTGTCTCCGTGCTGCCCTCCAGCCACGTGGCCTCACGTGTCCTGCTGATGAGAAGCGTGAGGCTGAGAGGCTGGAGCACAGGGAAGGGGTGTCTGCCAGGTGGCTTCACCTGCACAGGGGTGACTGAGGGAGGGGACTGAGATGCCATTTCTCCTCCCTGCGGGAAGTGGAGCTTGGGAGGCTGGGAGTGGGGTGGGCAGGGGGTGGCTCTGTGCTTCAGGGGCGGCTATGAGGTCCCAGCATTCCGGGAAAGGCCCAGGTTAAACCTATTGCCTCAGCCTTCCAGCTCCTTCTGCTCCGGGTAGTTCTAGTGCCCAACAGACAGAAAGCCAAAGCCGGGCTTCACCCAGCAAGACACTGGGGAGGTCCCCAGGGGGATGGAGGGGTCTCAGCCACCGTGGGGGACACCCCGAGTCTCTACCATTGAGAAAGCTGGACTCCCTTCCCTCAGCTGGGTCACTTACCTGTCCAGGTTGGTGGGCTGTTGCGGGTGAGGGAAGGGCTTTGGGGTGGGGACCAGACCTTAGAAGCACAAATGGACTCTGGCTGGGTTCATTCCACCCCACCTGGCTCGCCACCCTCATGCCCCATTCTCTCCCTGGCAGAGCCTGCTTCTGTGAGACAGTTTCCATGCTCTGTCCGTGCCAGGCCTAGAATTTGGGGTACAGCCACGACAGACCAGACCACTCAGCCCTCAAGGGGTTTACGTTCCAGCAGAGGAGACAGACAGAAAGCAAGACCTTTAACGTTTCCGAATGTCCACCCTTTCTTTCCGACCCCTCCTGCCGGCTTCCTTTTCTGTCCTAATCTCTTGGGAAGGACACTTAGAGAAGTGATTCCCAGCCCTTTTTCCTTTCCCGTCTGTGCGTCTAAGTCCATGAATTTCCATCAAGGCACCACTTCAGCTGTGACCACAAGTTGGCACGTTGTATTGTCATTATTCTTAGGTGTAAAACAGCTTCTAATTTGCAGGCTGGTCCCTTTGAGCCATAGCTGTTTAGAACTGCATTGCTTCCTTAATTTTTAAACTTCTAGCTTCTCTGTGGTCAGAGAATGTTCCATATTATTTTAGTCCTTCCTCTTGATTGAGTCTTGTTTAGGACCCAGTGTTTGGACAGTTTTGGTAAATGCTTTACGTATTTAAAATTACGTGTGTTCTGCAGAGGCAGGGTTTCACCATGTTGGCCAGGCTGGTCTTGAACTCCTAACCTCGGGTGATCTGCCCACCTCGGCCTCCCAAAGTGCTGGGATTACAGGCATGAGCCACTGCACCCAGCCTAGGCAGATCTCTTGAGCCCAGGAGTTTGAGACCAGCCTGGGCAACATGGTGAAACCCTGCTGTCTCTGTGTTTTGTTTTGGGTT